GTCTAGTGTTGCAACTAGAGAATTAAGATTATAAGCTTTATTCTTCTTTTGAGACTTGGTTATTTGAATCAAAGAATGTTGTGAAAGTAAAAAAGAAAAAGAGAGGCAGATTGATGTGATAATTAACTCTGAAAAGAAAAAATGTTAAATATTGATACATTATTCTATAAAGATATTATTGTGATAATTAATGTGAAGTATATTTGTATGTTACCGTACGTTATTTAACTTGTTTCAAATTTATACAAAGCTTAATTCAAGACCAATATATAGTAGCAAAATGCATTTAGGACCAAAGCGAGATATTACAAGAGAGAAAACACAACACTTTTCCAAAGCGTATTTCATTTTCTTTTTGTGAAGAACAAATTAGATCTCTTCGATAATACACATACTACAATGGTGGTTATGATCCTATAACATTGGTGGAGATTCAAGAATCCACTTGAAGAAAGTTTTAACGCATGTTTCTGCTGAGAAGACCTTGGAAAGATAGGTAGAGATCTTTGTTATCTTCTCCAAATATTTCATCTGCTTTCCTCAGAGTTTCCTGTCAAAAGGCATTAACGGTTTTTGAATCCGTAATCTCAGCCTAACGAAGAAAATGGTGCACAAACTACGGTTTTTTTACCTCTTGGGTTTGCTTACGCGCATTGAGTTCCTTGATGTTAGCTAAGAAGGCACTGAATTGTTCATAAGATAATCGGCTCCTGAGAATGAAGGATGAAAAAAACTCAACAATTTGAAACCGCGGTTAATGAGAAACCGACACTAAGACAAGAACTGACGAAAGCCTCACCTGGCTTGTCTGAAAAATTCCTTACCATCCATCCGAGGTGTACGAGCTGGGAAAAAAGTTTTATACATTGTATCTATGAGAATTATATACATGAGCTTCATCAATTTATACAAGTAACAATCTTTTAAGTTCCTATGAACCTGGGAGTGTGCGGTTGCGAGGTGGAGAGTTCGCAGCTGATGATTGCTGACTTGAAGGGTACCAGAGTTTTGTTTTTGCGGGAGAAACTGCACGTGATGTTCTTTTAGGAGAAGTCACTGCAGAATAGCCTCGAGGGGTTACACTTACAGAGATAATCTTTGGTGTTGCAGTTGGGGTAAGACGTGGAGAGATGTACGGTGTCATTGAGAACTTGTTTCCAGTGTATGTTGAAGCTGCAAAGTAAAAAAAAAACTCATATGTTGATCTTTTAGTTGCAGCATAGAGATAAAAGCATAACACAGGACGGTTAGGCTGATTCAATGTTACCTTCGACAGTTGGATTGTTTGTGTCTACAGAACCACTGTAAGGATGGGTTACTGAGTGTGCATCTGCATGGTTGAAAGATATATTATAACTCACATATAGGCCAAAACAAAAACAATCTGTAATTAGGAATTAGATATTGATGCAGTACCTTCGCCTGGAATAGACTGGTCACATGTCCTAATATCAACAGGTTCTGTTTGCTGTAAYAACAAATGAAGAAGAAGCAAACTTACATTCCCTTAAATCAGAGGCCAGAAGTATGCAAGATAGAAAGAAAGATAAGCCCTCACTGCAGTGCACTAAAAACATAGAAGACAGCAAAAGAATGTGTAATAACACAAGCTCGAATGTCTTACCTGACCACTCTCGTCGCTTAGGGATTTGATTAACTGCCGCTTGAATGTCTCCAACTAAAAACAGAAAACATTAGCTGTTTTTTACTCTCCTCCAAAGTATATCATAATGTGAAACTCACTTACAATACAAAACCAAACATAAAGCATCAAAAAACAATCACAAAATTCTCACCTTAGCCAAATCACGGGTGAGTTTCGTTACAGTCATTGCCAGTGAATCCTTCTCCTTTGTAAGGTTCATCTTCAGCAGAAAGGAAGACAGTTAATAACAGTCTTATAGAGCAGAGGAAAGAAAAGCAAAGCACCAATTCATTTGATTCTTGAGCAGATAATATGTTCATTCACTGATTTGGAAAAGAACATAAATTTCAGAGCACATCTACCACTTCAAGCTGAAGACTTCACTGTTATACAACTCCCTAAACATCAACCAATCCACAAAATTCCATAGCAAACACACAAAATTGTTCTCGGATTTAAAACTAACCAGAGTAACAACACTGCAACACCAATAAAATCTAAATCTAAAATGCAGAAGTAATGGAACCATAAAAGCAACAGAGGAGGATAATGATTAATGAAATGAAGCTTTTGTTCTCACATTATCCTCGAGGACGATTTTCAACCTCGAATCAGCTTCACGACAGTCTCTCTCCAGACGAGACGCCTTCTCCTCGAGCTCACGGACAACACTTTCCTTATCCGAAAGCTTCTGTCTCAATTCCACCACCTCAGAGTCCAAATTCGACACCCTTGAAGCTATCGCCATTGACGTAATCTTCCTCGCGAGATCCAGCTGCTCAAAAGGGTCCATCGGAATCACCGACAGAACCTCTTCGGGTAGTTCGAAATCCAGCTGGTCGTCTCCCATTTCTCCACCACCAGAATTGCCCTAACGTCGTCTCGTTACCTTCGACGTCGACGAATTTCACCGGCGATAACGTTTTTTTCTTCTAGGGTTTGAAATTGAACCCTCGATGAAAACCCCGAGAAGATTAAGGGTTCTTTAGCTCTGAAATTGTCCGATTGTCTGTTTCGCTTTACACTTGTCGATTTCTCATTGGCTAAATATCTTTTTCCTGTCTCTAATATGAATTTTGCTTTGTTCGAATTTAAAGAAAACACTTTTTGATTACTTTTCCCTCCAAACCAGAGAAAAACATTTTCATCACTTTTTAACTATTTTAATAATTTCGCAAAATTATTAGTGCTTTTTTGGCTCTACATTTGAAAATTACAAGACTGACTTGAATTTGCATTTATTATAGTATGTTTTAAAAAATTCCACATTGGCCTGTTGGGTTACATAATTAAAACAAAAATAAAGCTCTAAAATCTTTAAATTGCAGTAATGAAGGTTTCTGCATTTTCTGGTTACAAGTTGAAATGTCACATCTATGCAGTTGGGGAAGAATCACCAGAGACGTGTATAAATAGTTACATAATATCAATTTCGCGTCTACGTATACACAATTTCCTTAAATGTACAATCACAAAACCGGTTTTTTCCCGGTTTGCATTAATTACTTAACACGATTAAACAATTAATCGGATCTTACATGTCAGATATGTCGTGTCGTGTGGTGAAACACACAAATATCACATCAACAAAACTTATCCACTTCGTCTGTATCGTCTGCCATACCAACCAAACCGGTTTATGTACCAAACCGATAAGATACAATTATTGGTTAAATTCAATATAGATATCTTGTTTTAAGTACTGGTTTTAACAGTATTTTGTTGGTTTTCAAGTGGATCAGTTTAATATAGTTATCTATCGGCATCATAAACCCATCAAACCGGGTCTCAAACACAATCTTCCGGTCTAAACCGGTTTACATACCGGCTATCGAATCTCCAAGGATTTGATAATTTATTGCATTGTCCAGACCAGAGTGGTATCTTTCAAGTATGTCTGTGTGCGTATAGAGATATACAGTTACATTTCGTTACATACACACACATACGTATACAGTATGCTATAAATACACACATCTCGATGCAAGGGAGAAAAAAAAACATAATTTTCTTGGTTTTTCTTTTGTTACTCGAAATAGACAAAAAAGAAGAAAAAAAGATGTATTGTCTTCAAGTTGCAGCCTATCACTTGTTCTTTAACGCATCTCGGTTATGTTATCTTCTTGCTCTGATTATCTTTGTCTCTCTCAGATTCTTTGCTATTTTCCAGAACATCCCAGTGGTGAATCACTACGGCGAATCCAGAACGGCGTCTTTTTTAGCGATTACTGATACACAACAAGCTCAAGGAGATTTGAATGTAACTTTCTCTGGTGTTTTCTTAGATTCTGTAATCAAAGATATATATTGTTGATAATATTTGTAGTTCCTTCTGTGTTTTTCATCTACTTATGATTATTATATCTATAATTACTCAAAAACAACATTCTACTGTCATCAGTACTATTAAGTACTCCTTCCATTCCAAACCAAAAAGATGATTTTTTTCCGTAAAATGAAATTGTTCCATAAAGATAAGTATTAACTATCACAAATTTCTTTAACCAGTAATTATATTTTATTTAAGAGCTAAGGATTTATCCACTTTGACTGAAACCTGTAGCATGGCGAGTTGTGTTAGTGTAGCTGTCTCACATCTTGCGGGCTCGAAATTCGAGTCATTTAAAATATGCATAATTTGTAGCCGCAATTTTTTTTATCCAACCGATAGTATCCTAATCAATTACTCCCTCTATTCCATTATAGTATAAATTTTTCTATCTAAAACCGCAAAATTAAAAATTATTTAAATTTTTTTTTGTTTTATCATTTTATATTAAAAACACTATTTAATTAAATCCAAATCAATCAATAAATAAAAAACTACAGAATATAAATAGTCATAATACATTAAGTTTTGCTTAAAAATTTAAAAAAATTTTAGAATATAGAATAAATAAAAAACCCAAAACATCTAACATTTTGGGACAGAGGGTAACTTTTTTTATCCTTATATTATACTGCGTATCATTTTAACTATATTCACACAAATTAAAAAAAACTATTAAGAGTTCTACTTACT